TACAACCTTAAGATTACTTTGAGGCAATTCATGTATGTGCTGGAATCTTCAGCTTTCCCAAGCAGAACAGTGAATTCATTTAGCCATTCAACCACAAATATTTATTAAACACCCTGTATATTCCAGATACTCCTAAGGACTGGGAACATATCAGTAATAAGAGACTAAATTTCCTGCCCTCACATATATTTTACTGGAAGAGAAAATGAATCGATAATGTAAAATCAGGAAAGCAATATGTTAAATAGTAGTGCTAAGGAGAAAAAAAAAATCAAGAGAGTATGAAATGTCCAGTTGGGGAGAGAGTTTGAAATCTCAGGATCAATCATCAGCAAAAGCTTTCTCAAGAAGGTGACTTTATTTTTTAAAGGAATAAGAAGATGAAGGGCTGGTTACTTGGATCTCTGACAAAGAGTATTTCAGGCTCAGTAAATTGAAAATGCAAAGACCCAGAGACAGGAATTCCTGGGATGTTCACAGGAGAGTGGGACAAGAAAGGCCACGAGAAGGCATGTCTGGCAGGGCTGCACAGGCCAAAGGACCTACTTTTGGCTTTTATTTTGAGCAATAGTGGAAACCACTGGATGGTTTTGAGCAGAGAAGTAACATTCTTTGACTTACTATTTTAACAAGACATTTTGGCTGCTGCCTTGAATAGAAGAGAAACTAAAGCAGAAACCAGTAAGGGGAAAATTCTGGTACTCCAGAAAATATGATGGTGATTTGGCCCAGAGGAGAGGTGCTCCCCTTCTGGTTATATTTTGAAGGTGATGGGATTTCAAATAGAAAAAGAAAACTCAAGAATTAAATCAAGATGGACATGGTAGCAACTTGGGAGGCTGAGGCAGGAGGATCACAATTTCAAGGCCAGCAACCTAGTCAACCCCTATCTCAAAATTCAAAAAAATAATAAAAATTGCCAATTCTTGAGATACAGAGAGGACTATCATGGGAGGCATGTTGGGCACAGATTAGCAGAAGTTCAATTTTGGACATGTTAAATTTGAGATGCGTGTTAGATCTAGAGTGTAGATTTCAAATAGGCAGTGGGGTTTAGATGTGTGGAATTTAGGGGACTGATTTAGGATGGAGATGTGTTTGAGAATCACTAATATAACTAAAGTCATTGAGATTAGATGCAATTATCCTGGGAGTGAGGGAAGATAGAAAAAAGAAGAGTTCCAAAATTTCAAAGGAGGTTGAAGAAAAAGGACTACCGAGCTACAGAGACTGGGAAGGAACACCTAGAAAGGTGGAAGGAACATCAGGCAAATGACTTGTCTAGAAGACAAAAGCAGCATGTGTTTCAAGACTGAGATAGTGAACTATGGTCAAATGCTGCTGATCCATCAAGTTGAGTGAAGGCTAAAAATTGATCCTTCGATTTAACAACATGCTGGTCACTGGGGTCTTTGAGGAAAACTTTTTGTGGAGTGGGGAATTAGAATGGGTTTAGGAGAGAATGGGAGGAAACTGCAGAGAGCAAATACAGGTAAGTCTGGCTATACAGGAAAGAAATGGGGCATTGGTGGGGGTAGGTAGGATAGAGGAAATGACTTGTAATGATGAGGTGAGCTGGGGAGAAATGCCATACCTGTGAGCAGCAGGGAGGAGGCAGGGAACTGGTGCACAGAGGTGTTGGTCTCTGCCAGGTGCATGACTTATTTATCCACAGGAACAGGGAAGAGGGCAGGGTGTATAGACAAGAGATGTAGATTGCTTCATATTTTTGCAGAGAAGTAGGAAGAAAGGTCCTTCCCTGAGTCAGGATGGGGCAGAAGTGCTGGAGGTAGAAGGAAAGTAAATAAAGTCTGAAATAGCTGGTAGAGAGTAGAAGAAGGCAACATGAGTTCTGGGAAGCCTTAAGGACTTATGGCCATGAATTTACACAGCCACCTGTCAGCATGATTATGTGCTTTCTTTCAGTTGTATGCAGCCATAGGAGTATGAGCATGGCCCAGGCAGACAAGTGGATAAAAATCATGGTTATGGATTTCCAAGCAAGGGAGAAAGTCCAAGGAGAAAGGAAGTGGGGTCCTAATAGCCTTGTAAAGAGCTAACTGAGATTAAGCCCAGACTCTGTGCTGGCAGTTGAGTCAGACCTAATGGCCTGTATGTATCCCCAGAAGACTTTCTAAACACTTGGCTGCAGATAGAAGATTGCTAGGATTTGTATAAATATTTCACAATTTATTCTGGAGTGCCAGAATATAAATCCAGCCATAAAAATTGTCCAACAGTTCTTGGCTAGGCAAGACTTGGCGAGTAGGACGAAAGAAACTCATTTTATAGTAAAATAGCAGCCAATCTTCCTTTAATAAATAATCACCTCAGTAATAAATAATTAATAGTAATTACAGAAAATAAATAGCATCTCAGATTTCTGATTTGTGCTTTGGGTCTATTTTTTGTGGACCTCAATTTTCTGGATAAAATAAAGTCAAAACAATCCCAGGTATTTTAGATGCAGAGACTTAAAAAGAAGATGGCAGGTTTTCTTTTTCTTGTGTGTGTGTGTGTGTGTGTGTGTTGAGGGGGCAGTAAGTGAGTATCTGCTACTCCTAAAAGAGGTGTCAGATTTTCTGGCTATTGCTGTAGTGAGCTCTGGGAGTGTGCGGTAGTATTGTAGCTTTTCAAATTAAGCCAGAAATCATGGCTTATGTAAAGTATCCAATTGAGGGGCTGGCGTTGTGGCTCAGCGGTAGGACACTCGCCTGGCATGTGTGAGGCCCTGGGTTCGATCCTCGGCACCACATAAAAATAAATAAAATAAAGGTATTGTGTCCAACTACAACTAAAAAATAAATATTAAAAAAATCCAATTTAAAAATGTTGACAACTTGTACTTAATTATTTATGTATTTATATATTATATATTTATTTTTGTGGTCCTGGGCATTAAACCCAGAGGTGCTTTACTAATGGTCCATATCTTCAGCCCTTTTCATTTTTTTATTTTGAGACAGGGTCTTGCTAAATTACGTAGATCGGCCTCAAACACGCAATCCTCCTCCTATCTCAGCCTCTTGAATAGCTGGGATTACAGGTGTGCGCTACTACACCCAATGACAGCTCATTTTTTTTTTTAAATATAAAGAAACTTTTTTACTGACAAATCAAGAATTTTTGACTTTTGTTCTAAAGCAGCAGAAGCCCTTAAAATGCAACTTTTCTTGGTGTAAAATTATGCTAATCTCTTATCAATTTCTCCTTCTTGGTCTGCAGAGAATAAAATATTCTTGCTCACTTTGGAGGACTAGTCTTGTCTGAGTAAAAACCAGGAATTCTGTAAATACTTGGTGCTATTGTTCCAGGCCATGGTGGATTAGGACGGCTTACTGTTCAGGTCATGGACACACGGCCAGCTACACTGATCTTCATGACAATCTTTCTAAATACTCTCACTTTTTACCATATGAAAAAGGGGACCATAAAAACATGAACTGTTCATTGAAGTAGTAGAATTTTATTTAATGAAATCATTCAAAATTTGTATCTTCTAAGTTCACCCCTTACATTATATATAATTCTTTTATTTACATATACCAAATTTCAGTAACTTAAAATTCCTCAAATGCTTTCCTAGAATATATTGATTTTCTCCATTTCATCTTTTTGCCTTCAGCTGGGTGGTTACCTTGTTCTCTCTCATCTTCCTGCAGAGACATTTGAATATGACTATATGATTACCAAATAGCTGTACACTTAAATAAAAGAGTAGCCCACAGCAAAGCAAGAGACGTGACTCCTCCTGAGTAGGGGATAACAATAACAGTAGGAATAGTCATATTAGTCATCAGAACAGTTATAAACTGCTACCATTTAATTCCTACCACATTGCATTCTAGGTACCCTGTACCCATTCTTTCTAATGCTCAGAATATCCTTATTAAGTTAGTGTGTTTATCAAATTAGTAGTATATTCATTTTATGAATATGGAAATAAAAGTTTCTTCGGAGGGAAACAATTGCTCAGAGTATCAAGACAGTCGAGACAAGAGTCCAACATTAAATCTAGGCCTATCTGATAAGAGTTCCATTGTGGTTCTGGGGTTCCATTGTGGTGTGGCCTTAGTTCAGTGACTATTAATAACATTCCTTCCTTGCCCTGGAGTGTGATACACAGTTCTTGTCCATGCAGACATTATACTCCAGCACAAGAGATACAAATCAAAGTATATTTTAGAAACAACGTGGTTAGCAGGAGCGGTAAACACAAGCTGCTATGTAAAAGAGAGAAAGCAAGCCCAGAGCGCTACTGGAGATCTGCTGAAGGAGATGACACTCCCAACAGATCTCTAAGGAATGAGGAAGAATCATGTTTATCACGCAGGGGACAATATTCTAGGTAAGAAACACAAATAGATGTGAGAGAAATATGTGTGTGGTGTGTGGTGATTTTCTTTCTTTCTTTTTTTTTTTTTTTTGAGAGAGAGAGAGAGAGAGAGAGAGAGAGAGAATTTTTTGATATTTATTTTTTAGTTTTTGGCGGACACAACATCCCTGTTTATACGTGGTGCTGAGGATCGAACCCGGGCCGCACGCATGCCAGGCGAGCGCACTACCACCTGAGCCACATCCCCAGCCCTGTGGTGTTTTTTCTAACATCAATTAGAAATAAGTTGAGTTCTTCTGTCTACTCATGTTCAAGGTGCTAAGCAGCAGAGGCTGGGGTGCTTGCCTGTGTACTGGAGATGATGCCAGTGGTCTTTAGCCAGATTTGAGGGAGCAAAGGAATCTCTTAGCATCTGGGTGAAAGGATGAATCAGAGGGCACAGGTCTAGAAGCTTTTAGGATCCTTAGCTGTTCACCATTTTCTCAGCAAAATTTCCCTGGAAAGACCATTGTTTTGTGCACAGAGAAAATTAACTTGCCATTATCACCGAGTGCAAGGTGTGATGTACTAAACGAATACCATAGTAGAACACGCCCGCCTTTGACACTGCCCACACCACGCATGCATAAAGACAGTCCCTCAAGAAAGAAAGATGGACACATTGTCAGCAGAAATCACAAATTTATTAACTCTTAAATATATCAATCAGTCATTTACCATTATGGCAAGAAATATATACAGTGTCCCATGGTAAACTGCAGTGTTTCAAAATGATAGAAGATAATAAATGTGTAATTCAATTGTGGTGGAGAGAACAAATCACAATTTCCTCACATCTTAGTGCGGAAGACAAACTTGATCTACGGTAATACTTCAACACCACATGCTAAGTTAAAAGTGTAAAAAAACAAACAATCTACACCTACTTTTTTTTTTTTTTAAATACATGTATGCCACGTAGAGCCGCTTCACAAAAAAGGTAAAAGAAATTAAAAAGGGAAAAATGAGGCCATTATTTTTTCACAGATCTCATTGGCAGGTTAACATGGCTCAATACATTTAATGTATATATTTATTTTAAATATATGTTGTTTTAAATTGTGTAATAATTATCAGAAAAGCTTCAACCCATCTATCATACGTCCACTAGCAACAATATCTAAGGTTATTAGTAATCAACACAGAAAGGTGAAATGAGAGAAAAGAGGGAGGGTTGTGTTTTTTTTTTTTTTTTCCTTCTGCTTTAAAAAATAGGCTTCTGAGGACTGTAACTATGGTTAAAATAACGCTGATGGAGATTCCATGCACTAGAAAGTATTTCAGGGAAGAGAAAAAACCTCACAGGAATTGAATCAACAAAGGAGAAATGAGAAGCACAAAGAAAACCAGGACATTTCCCTTTGCTTTTTATTTTAAACTGGAAAATCCTAACTCCTTGGAGGGGGAGAATGATATTCTGAATCAAGAGAAAAGCTAAAAAAGCACAAGTTGCAAAGATCAAGTTCAAAATGCTTATGAGAGTGGAAACATCTCTAAGCTCCCTAACTTTAGAACGCTAGCTAATGGTGAGGCAGGAGGGGCCCTACACTTTCACAAGGTGGAAACGAGTGCTTTTGCACAAAACAAGTGCTTTTACACAAAAACCTAATCCACTCTCAGCTTGCTATTTTCCTGGCATCCATCCCAATTAGTAGGGTGCACTGTAGTTTACAGGGACTTACTTGGTGTCTAAGTTTCAACAATTCCAATACCTCCCACATAGTTGAGATACTTAAGTCCAAACTAGAGCTTAAGCTTTATTTAAACTTTATTTTTATTCAATTATTTTTAAGTTCTCTGGGCCCAGAAGATGACCAAAAGTGCTGGTTTAGCTCCCTCCAAAATACCTCAGTTTTTATTTTACCATCGTTCTGCAAATTTCACTTGTATTCTGACACACTGCTATCCACAGAGAAAAGAAGGAAAAAGAATGAAAGAACAAAAGAATAATAAAAAAGGAAGCATACAAAAGTAACAAAGAAATGGGATAAAATGAAGAAAACAGAGGACAGATTTGAGAAAGGAAAACAAAAATCAATTCAGCAAATCCACTAGAACAGTGTATGTTCTAAAATGATCAAACTCATACGTGATGTGAATTTTTCCAGTTTACACTTTGACTAAATACAACATGGCTTTAGATGGCAGTTAACCAACTGATTCTTGCTTCTACATGCATATGTGATTTTTTTTTTTTTTGCCCACATATCAACCCACTTTAATTGTTCAACAGCAAAGCTTTCAGTGAAAAATCACCCATTTCAACCAGGATCACACCCAGAAACTGAAAGTATATATATATTTATAGATATAGATATATATATTTTTGCCTTTTTAAAAAAACAAACAAGCCAAAACAGAGTTCTAAAAAATTTACATTTCTCTTACAAACTGTCATTCAGAGAACAATAATTTTTTAAGTCTGTTACATTAAATCTTGGCATAAACAGAGAAACTAGATGAATAGTTGTACTTGGAATATCCTGGGATTTTTTTTTTTTTGTCTGACCTCCCTCTATTGGTTGCCGACAGTAATTTCAGTTTGCATGGAACATCCCCATCGTTGAAGTGTAAACAATGTACAGGAAGGAATATATGATAGATGATGCATCACGTATGCATAACATGTAGGACCTTCACAACTTCATGCACTCGGAAACATGCATGAAGAGGAGGAGAGGACGGCCCAGGGTTACCATCCGGTGCTTTGAGAACAAAGAATGCAGAAGTGGCACGTTGATAATTAGCTGAAAGGAGAAAAATGGAAGAAGACATAAGTTACGTTGCTTCATCAAATTGCTTTGCCACAGATGTGCCTAAGCCACAATTTTATAATTTAGTTAAAGATCAGATTAAAAATACTGCATATAAGAGATATTTGCTTAAAATCGTTATAAGATTAAAATACACAATATTAAAAAAAAAGTCAGGAAGAATATAAAATGACTCAGTATTATCTGTTTTTTTTTTCACACAAAGCTAAGCTAGAAATAGAGACAGGGTCATAGACATCAAATTATTAAATATAAATATGTATTTTGAGTATTCATATTTACTAGACAAATTTAATAAATTAATATTATTGTTTGGTTGAAAGAGATTGGAAGTTCAAGTTCTTCCTTAGGTTTTCATTATTCTAAGACTCCTTGGGAAATTAAACTTTGAAATGAATTTAACAAGGAATATAGCCACTAGAATGGAAAAAAAACCCCATATGATTATTTTTATTTCATTCTTTAAAGCAACCACTGAGAGCACTATTTCTTAAAAGTTCTTATAAGGTCCAGTTTTCGAGTGGGGAAAATATTAACAACAGCACCACAGTTATCTGGATCCTAATCCAAGCGTCAGAAACACATTTTTAAAAACAACAACATAGGCATGAATTTAATTATGGCCAACTTTCAATTATCCTGTGGAATACCTTACTTTGTACCTTTTAAATTTCAGCTTGATTTCCACTTGTGGCCTGTTCTTAGGAGGATCAAGTACCATCATGCTCAGTCAGGCACAGCAAACTAATTTACATATTAACCTCAGCCAACTGCTTACAGCAATTGCAACTTCTAGAAAATAGTAAATCACCAAAGGATTCTAAAGGTGAATAAGAATTAGTCTGGATAATTGAGAGTTGTCTGAATTGACTCCAACATAACTGACTGTTGGTCTGAGAACTCCAGGATTCTAAAATAACACAATCCAACAACTGCAGGAAAAAGGTCCTTCTCAGCATGTATTATCTTTAAAATTAAGGGTTATATTCTAAAGTGGATGTTAAACATAAGAGTTCATGCAACACTGCTATGGATTTTTAAAGACCTTGTATGTGTTTCATGGAATAAAATGCAGAACAAATATCCTCCAGGAAAGAAAAACAGCCATGCAGCCTTTCTGAGATTAGCTCCAATTGCAAAGTATCCCAGAGCAGGATGCTACTTACAAGACCCATATGTGAATGGTTTTCAGGCCTTAGATGTTTTGCCACAAAGAGGTGCCTCCTGAGAAGTTTTCTTTCCCATTTGGAATACATGGTGGCCTATTAAGAGAAGCCCCATTTAAGCCACCTGGCGTAAAAGGAAGTTTTCTTAAATAGGCTCTATCCCATCAACACTTCAGGGAATTGCAGAAAAACCCAGCCCCTGCTACCACACGAATGTAATCCCTTCTATGTTAACTGGCAATTTGTGTTGTACCTCTTTGGGGTAAAAAAAAACCACACAAACACAAAAATGGTTGTCTTCATTATCTTCATATTCCTTTAGTGCCTTTCTCTTGATGATATAACTATCGTTTTTGGAATTTCAACCTATTGCTTTTAAGGTATTTTTTTTTTT